GAATACCCAGGTACAGATGTCACAAAAATATGGTAAATACGTCATTGATTAATTCGAAATCTGAAACCTACAAGATTCAGTAATTTTGAAAATTAAGGAATCACCAGCCAACGTAGCCATGGCATCTAGAAATCAACAAAAAGAAGTGAAAATACATACGAATTACGAACAAAGAGCCAAAACATACGGAAGTAAGAAAGTTCAAAATGCCAATACCAACAATGAAGATAAGGTATCAGTAAATGCAAGAAACCTACAAACGGCAACAACAACACCGAAATCGCGACCACCAGCCAATATAACCACGTCACCTAGAAATCAACAAAGAGAAGTGAAAGTATATACGAATTACGAACAAAGAGCCAAAACAGAACGGAAGTAAGAAAGTTTAAAATGCCAATACCAACAATGAAGGTATTAACAAATACAAAGAAACCTACAAATAGCAGCAACAACACCGAAATCGCGACCACCAGCCAACGTAACTACGGCACCTAGAAATCAACAAAAAGAAGTAAAAATATATATGAATTATAAACAAAGAGCCAAAACGATAGTATTAGCAGCTACACACCAGGGCACCACAGAAACGACACGACGACACCAAAAATCAGTGACACCAACAAAGGACGGCACCAGAAATCGATGACACCAATGAACGACGACACCAGAAAGAAAAGAATACTAGACACTGAAGACAAAAAAATAAAATAAAAAATAAATAAAAAAATCTAGTAGCGAAAAAAAATAATATAAAAAATCTATTGCTGTATATCACATTCTTGCTGATCTGTGTAAATAAAAATTCGCGTATACTGAAGTATTTTAACATGTTCATGAACCTTGAACATGTTCATGAATCTGAACATGTTCATGAACCTGAACATGTTCATGAACCTAAACATGTTCATAAACCTGAACATGTCATGAACCTGAACATGTTCATGAACCTGAACATATTCATGAACCTGAACATGTTCATGAACCTGAACATGCTGATTGGACAAAATTAATAACATGATATCTTTTTTGATAATCCAGTCCGAATTAGGAAATCTAATTCTAGAATAATCTGCGTGAAATCCGTGAATTAAAAACTTCACTAAGTATATAACTTCATTATAGCGAATACGCTATACGTTGTGGTCATTATGGCCATGCTCAAAATATTATCATGTATATAAGTGCTTGTCTTCACCCTTAGTTGAGGGTAACTTTCGCTCTCCTAAATTCCTCAATAAATATAGATCACATACTAAGCTCTCCCTTACGATGGTTACAATATACGTAATGTCT